ATTGTGCAATATAGTATTGATGACATTCACTGCTGCAGTATAGTGCTGTGTTATGGAAACAACCACTTACATTGTAAGAAGAGGAAGGAGATGGAGACACAGAGGAGAGACATCCTCTCACCGCTGGGAGATGCCGTCAGCCCCGTACACCTCAGAGAGAATATGAGTAACACAGAGCTGTTCTGTAAGAGTGTTGGAGACTTGGATTATTTGTGATGAACAGCGTCACAACATGGCTGGTGTCAGCGGCTTTGAGGGGTGGGCGGGGTGTGGTTTGGGTGTGGAGGGGAAGAACATACATGAGGAAAGGGATTGATTAACTGTGCCCGAGAGCAATGGGCAGAGAGCGTGAATTGGGGATGAATGTTGGACTCTCATTTAGGTTTACATGGACAATTGACGGGGACGCCAACGGGAGGGAGTATAACCTGACACTGTGAAGGGACAAAGGCTTTGTGATGTAGAGAGGGAGTATTACTGAGAATTTTGAAAGACACATAAAGTAACCACTTACACACCATTGACTTGGAGTTCGCTCTATTACAGTGACCAGCAGCTGGACGGGGAAGCCGGTAAGGGCAACAGAGAGTTTGCCAGATATGGGTGATGATGGGTGCCAGGGAGGAGGGAAAAATAGGGTAAAGGAGTATGGGGTGGGGCGGTATATAATCCGTGGGGAGAGTGGGGGTGACAAAGGGATGATGGTCTGAAGGGGGATAGAGAGGAGAAAGAGAAGGCAGTTCATAAAATGTTTTCTTTACCGCATACACGTGAAGAGGTTTATCACGACGTACCCATATGGCAATGCACAGTATGAAACACAAGCATTCTTGTTAATAATTAATGACTCGGATTTTCTGTCTCTATTCTGTGTATCTGTGTGTTTCTCTTTCTGAGTGTTTGTTTGTCTTTTTTCTTTCTGTTTCTCTCTCTCTCTCTCTCTCTCTCTCTGTCTCTCTCGCTCTATCTATTTAATTGAATACTTAAGAAACTTTCCTTGCTGCACGCATGCACACACACAGACACACACACACACACACGCACACACTCACACACTCACACACAGACACACACACTCACACACACAAAACACACACACTCGCACACAAACAGATATACGCGGTTTAGTGGTAAGTACAAACTTGTGCTTTACCGCTTGTCTTTCTAATGTTGGATCGCTTTCCAGCGGTAAACATCCCTACAATTTAGTAATAATAATAATTTGATTACTTGATCCATGACGGTGTATGCAAACGCGCTTCTGTCTGTTCGCGTCGCCTACAAAACCCCGTCACTACACTTTACAGTATATTCTGAGGAAAGCTTTGAGGCATCTCGTTGACGTGATGATTTATGGAGTGTGAGGAGAGAGCTGAACACCAGTGGAATCAATATTTTGTGATTTTTTTTTGACATTAACGATGGACTAGGAGGTGGAAGCAGTTTGGGACTGTGGGTGAGGGAGAGTAGATATATTAGGTCATGTTGGAGCCCGTTTTATTCGTATAACCATAATAATTCTTGCATTTGATACTCAACATTATCACGTCCCAAGGTCATTCAAAAATATACTGAAGAGTTGATCTATTTCATGTTGAGGTGGTAAAACGAATCAGCCAATTGTGCTCATCAGTGGCCCACAAACAGTCGTAGATTGAGTGACCGAATTAATATTTTAGTTATGTAATTATTGGCATGTTTGAAAATAAACATGTTATTGTTTTATTTTAAGGGATTATTGCCGACGGTAAGTTAACCTTCAAACGAATAACATGAGTGTTCCTATTTATTGTTAAATATACAAAGGCGAGTGTGGCTTAAGGAAAGTTGCCTAAGGTTTCTCGCCACCCGAGAATCGGACTCAGATCATCTCAATTGCGAAACTTGTGATTTGACCACAAAGTTAAAAGACTCCACATTATTGCACGAATGAGGTATCTTCCTGACGTGAAAGCTGCTGTTTAACAGTCAGTTTTATTTTATTGTTATATGTCGGCACCTATCGGCATTTCAGTAGAATGTCAGTGTGTATTCGTGGTTTGAGTGACCAAATTATTACTATTATTTAAAGAACTTATTAACCCCAGAAACCAATCCCTCAATCGACTAACAATCGTGTTCTTATTTACTGCTAAACAAACTGAGGTGTGTGGAGTAAGGAAAGTTGCTCAATATTTTGCACGGCTGGGAATCAAACACAAGTCTATCGTTTGCGAGGCGAGTGCTCTAACCACTGAGCTGCAAGGCTCCACCTTGGGAGGTTTTTGTACAGGGAAGTCATTGACTTGCAGCACTGTGCTTGTTGTTAAGCCACAATAATATGTGGCAGCGTCAGTGACAATGACACTGGATATGCTTAATGTGGTTTTTCTCTGATTCGTGTCAAGCTGTGAAGTGAAACGGCCTTTGGCGAAATCTGCTGTGTTGTCATTTCCATTAGTATCCCTATAGAGAATGTATTGTGGAGCCAGACCTGGGTGATGTCTGTACCAGTACAGAACAGCATAGGACGAGCTGGTGGTATATGAGCAGCTGAGACTCACTGTGTCTCCCTCTTGTTTGCTCAGCCCCGCTGTCTGGTGTCTGACTGAGTCTCCCACCACCACATCTGCAACAAGAGGAAAGGATCAAAATCAAACATAGAGCTATTGCAATCCTGTAGTTCAATGGTTTGTGCACTCGCCTCGCAAGCGTTCGGATAAGGGTTCAATTCCCGGGCAGGACAGGGAGAAACCTTAGGCAAGTTTCCTTAGTACACATAAACGCCTCTGTTTCCCAAGCAATAAGTAGGAACCCAGTTGTTGGAAGATTGGCGGAAGCTTTTCCTCGGATAATAATGCATAAAAAATAAACGTGGTCACTCAATCCACCACTTTTTGTGGAAGTCTCATGTACACAAATGGCAGCCGCGTTTCTCTCTCACTATTGCGGTCAGTTGAATTGTCCAAGAATACTGAGAAGCGCTTTGTGACGCCTTTATATGAAGGCGTTTTATCAAACCTAATAATTACTATTACTAGCTTTCCATTGCTAACATCTCAACTAACAAACCCAGCTCGGTTGACCAACCAGGTCTGCCAAACGCAATGACCCATCATCCTACTGATGAAAAAGCCTCTTTATTAATATTAATCTGTACTGTATGTTTCACAGCCTCACCTGACATAAACCTCAATATGAGAAGGTATTCGATGAACAGCCGCATTGTCGCTCTTGAGAAAGAATACTTTGCCATCAGAGTTTGATGATTGAATGTGTGTGTCGACGGTGAAGGGTTTCAACATCACATCCGTGACCCCACAGCAGCGTTTCCTTGACACACTTACCCCGTGACATTGTCACGCCGCTAAATATGGGCGTTGGGCTACACTCATTTACATGCTCAATGATTTCAAACCACCACAAGATGATGTCAAAGATACTGTGGATAAAAGTTTGGTGAGGAAGGATCATACTAATCCTTGCATTTGATAAAGCGCCTTTGGACATCAATTACAACAATAAACAGCAATAAGTAACATGTTTGATGTTGCTCGGACGTCCTTAGTCGCTGGACAGTGAATGTGTTTGCACTCGGGTTTAGAAGGGGAGAGAAGATGGTGGGTGGAGGAGTGATGGTCACTGAAGACTCGGTTGAGAAGGATGGTCTTCAGACGGGCACTGAATGAGGAAAAGGGGACACAAACGTTTTAGAAGATGTCATAGATCCTCTTCCAACTTTAGATGCTACCAACGAACCTCACCGACCTCCACAAACACTACACTCAATACGCTATCATTACCAAATCTACCAGGACCCTCAATTGGATCTGTCAGGATATAGCTAATCGTTTCGAGTCGTTCCGTGGGATATTTAGCACTCACCTGAACAGTCATGGATTGCGTGACCAAAACTGTTTTTGAAGGAATTATTCTCCCCCGGAAAAGCGATATGCCGATCGATTCACACCCGGGATCTTTGTCACTGCGAGATAAACAGCGGTCTGTGTTTGGAGTAAGGCAACTTGCCTAAGGTTTCACCCTGCCCAGAATTGAACCAGAGTCCTCCAGTTTGTCAGACGACTGCTGTTCCCTCTCCGCCACACGACTCCGTGTAAATTCACAAAAAACAAAAGAAACAGGATTGGCTTTTATTTTATTTGCAAACTGAAGTAAACTAACAACAACTGGGCCTGTAACGCCTAACTCGTTCACTAAGGGTTGTCTGCATTTGCTGTGACAGATAATGTTGTGAACGTTTAGCTAACAAGTTGATGTCAGGTGAATGTGGTTTCCTTTGAGTCTGGAGACTGAAATGTCTGCTCTCCGCAAGGCCTCAAGGCCTGACCAAGTTTCCGCACACACTTCAAAAGACAGATCATTCCTATGTAATAGTGAAGGTAGTTTTTGTCCGAGACTTGCAGTGCTGTCAATCACTGTGGTGAGACTCAAAGCACAGTGATACACAGCGCTATCAGACACCATCAGCACAGACAAAGAGAAACTGGTGGACGAATTGGATTCCCGTAGCTGAGCAGAGAAACGATTTTCAGTTCCTGTTCCTTGGTATTGATTGTCATCCCCAGAATAGCTCGCAACGAAAAACTCTGGCTGCTTGTCTGGGTAATGTCGGTACAAGTAGAGATGGTAATACCGATCAGTAGTGGAATAAGTACACTGAAAATTCACAGTTTCTCCTTCAGTCCTAACCATCGGGGCAGCATTCTGACTAACAGAGGCCCCGTCAGAGTGATCTGTAATAAACATGGAAAAGTACGACAATTTATTATTCACCCTTTGCCTGAGTTGTTTTTTCATCGCCTGGGGACGGCCTCCCAACGAGAGGCGCTATAGAAGCGCCCATTGTGAGTAATGAAGTAACAATAATTTTAAATTTTCATTTTAAATAACATCTGAGGTTGTCATTGATACGCATCAACGTGCTTCACAGAAGAAATTGTGAAGCGGAGTGCTCTGTATTTTTGCGGGCCAAAAGCGGCAAACAATTATGCATAGCAGGAACCAAGTAGAGTCGTGGAGGGTGTAACAAACTACTACTTGAAACATTTTTTACGTATTATTGCCCCTGAAAAAGAGATGCGCCAAAGCTCTAAAAACATTTCAGTAGAGAAATGATTTTAATTTGGAAGATTGTTACTTCCAGGTTTATAAAGCGAAGGATTTCCGAATGACT